CTATAGGAATGAATATTTTACTATAATGAATATTCTAAATAATTATAGCATATTTTTTATCATCCTTGTAACTTTGCTAAAATCATAGCCTCCAAAACTGGTGTCCACATGTTTTAAGTGAGATTGGTGCTTTTCATGTGTGAGGTCTGCTGTAGTCAGTTTGGGTTGCTACAACAAAATGCTACAACCTGGGTGATTTAAATACCAAATATTTATTTCTCATGGTACTGGGGCCTGGAAGCTCCAAGGAGCTCACATATTTGGTGTCTGGGAAAGACCTTACTCCTGGTTTTTAGATAATTGTTTTCTTATTGTTCCCTCACGTTGCCTTGTCTTAATGCGCGCACATGCACGCGCACACGCACGCACACACACACACACACACACACACACACACAGAGTGAGAAGGATTGCATTTGTTTTCTTTCTATAAAAGCATTTATCTCATCATGAAGGCTTCAACTTTGGGAACTTATTTAACCCTTCTTAACTCTGAAAGGCCCCACCTCCAAATATTATCTTCCTGGAGATTAAGATTGCAACCTATGAATTTAAGGGTGGGGATACCACTCCTTAGTCTATAGTAATCTCTTTTAGTAAGTCATCCCAAAATTAAAAGAGACTGTCAGGAGCTGGGGATTTAGCTCAGTGGCATAAGCACTTGCCTTACAAGCAGGCAGTCATGAGTTCGATCCCCGGTACCGATAAAAAGGAAAACCAAAAAAAAAAAAAAAAAAAAAAAAAAAAAAAAGAAGAGAGAAGGGAGACTGTCATATACTAGAAATGTGCCATGAGTGGCACTCAAAGTTTACTTTCAGACAAATTTGGTTTCCAATTTCAGGTCTGATTTTTACATCTGTGGAACATCAAACAAAGTGTCTCTAGGTTTCCATCTCCTCTGATATCAAATTCTTCTACAGTACTGCCCATTTTAATAGCTGTTGTCAAGTTTAAATAAAAATTATGCCCATAAAGCTCTTAGGACAGTGCTTACCACAGAAAAGGCCCTTGATAAAACATTTAGTTTATAAAGTATGTGAAACAACCAAAACAATCAGGATTGGCAAGACAAAATTTGGCATTGCTTGGCTAGTGAGTTGGTAGTTGATACCAGATACAATTTCTCTTTGGCCATAATTTTACAAGTCTTTCAGAGTTATAATATTTCTGAGATTGAAGCAGACATAGACAAAATGTGTGTGTGTGTATGTGTGTGTGTGTGTGTGTGTGTGTGTGTGTGTGATGCCCAAGCATGTAAGCAAAAGCCAAATGTACTTTGATAATCTACCCCTAATAATGGGGTAAATAGCTCAGCTTCTATTACCACAAAGAATTTCAACTAACATCCACTTCAAAATCTGACAATGTATTTTACCAAAATATTTTATTTCAATGAATCCAGAACCAAGCCTTTGTTTTTCACTGGTATTATTACCTAACAAAAATGTTTTTTCTTTATACACCAACAAGAACAGTTACAGTTACAGTTAAAAGTTATTGGCAAGAAAATAGCAACACCAGCTAACCACACACACACACACACACACACACACACACACACACACACAGAGTTTCTCAACTCTCAAAACCCCAAATTCCCTAAATCACAACTTGACATCCATGCCATTTATTGTAGATTGTATCCTAAAATATTTAATATTTACATTTTATAGAAATTGACATTGCTTTTCCATGCAAAGTGAGTCAGGTGAAAAAGTTAATCCAAATTTGTTCTCATGTGACCAGAAGTGTAAAGGTGACATATTCATTTGATCATCAGTAAAAAAGCAAACTCCACAGTGCTTAGAGGTTGACTTTTTAGTGCATTGTACTAGACCTGACTAAGTTCTTATACTTGTGGAATTACCAATCACAGTAGTCATATCTTCTTGTAACCACTGATATAAAAGCATTGCAACAATACTACACTATTTAAAGGCGGAAGAAAAAAATACACATACAGAGAATATCCCTGAGAATTGGGATGGATTTCATTGTGTTTCAGGGAAATTTAAGCTTGCAGAGGGCAAGGAATAATTCTGAATACCCATGGTTAGTAAAACAAAGTCTAAACATTGCTTATAGTTTAATGAAATTAACAATCAGACCATGGAGTTGGAAGTTCAAAAGGATTGTGTCTGTATGAGAATGTAAAGTAGTAGTAGTTTTCTCTCTCTAAATTCAAAAATGTACTATAAAGACTTACGGGATTTATTTCTGTACAGTGTGTAAATGTATGTATTTCAGAAAAGAGGTATCAGGAATATATTCTCAGAAAGTGACCTTAAATGCTAGAAAGTGATCTGGTTTCTTGCCTTTCAGAAGAAATCAATAAAAACTAATAGAATCCTGTGAAATGAGTGGTCTCTTGGCAAAGCCATGCCCCTACCCAGGCAGGACGAACTCGTGTCAGACTGTAATTGTTCTGTGATTAGTGTGAGTGAATCTTCTTCACCACATAGATTCACCACATTGATTTTTAATTAATAATAATGTCTTGAATTTATATGCTTACCATCTCGGGAAATCTGAGTGTGTTATAGTTGATGAGTTCCAATTTATCTTCACACGGTCCTGCTGAATGTAAAGATCGAGTGTTTCAATTACAGTTCTAAGGAGGGAAAAGTGAGCCAAAAAAGGTTAAGGTAGTTGTCATGAAGAATTCAGGAATCTGATAATAGAATCACCAATTCAAATCTAGTAGTTTTTACTTGTAATTCTATTTCCTGTCCTAAAAACATCTAGTGAGTTGGGTCAACTTTTTTTTTTTTTTTTGGAAGAGGAAGATGATCAAGCAATTTTTTGAAGTTTTTATGATTAACATAAGCTTATATTTCTCCTCATTATTGTAGTAGTATACAAAATATATCATGTGGACTGTTTTATTCAACTCCTATCAATTTTTTAGTGGGTCTCTGTTTAATCTTTGAAATCTCCTAAGTTATACATCTCAAGATGTTTATCTCCTGATAATGGAGCAATGCAAAACTTAAATTCTGATGTGAAGTAGGCAAAGTTATGATTTTTTAAAGGACTGAACTCTTCACCAGCTAGTGGGTATTGGTTAGATGAAGAGAGATAAAATAGTATCCCCAATAAAATCATGCTCAGAACCCTAACTTGCTGTACCCACGGAAGATCACCACCATTCCTTCAACCACACATTCTTCAGCCTTAAAAACATGGAGCTTTGATTTCTCTCCCTTTCTTCTATTTCTGCCAGTTTTCCTTCTGATTTATTCCTTTATCCCTCTGTCCTCTGAGTGCTGCTACTCTATCCTTCATGTGTAGTACAGCAGTCCCATTTGTTTCTCAAACTTTCTCAGTCCATTTTGGATCAACCTTCCCAGTAAATCCCAGAAATATATAGAATGTGATGAATGTCTATATTCCAGTGCTCCATTTAAAAAATACCACATTTGAGATAGTTAAAAACCTTCTTTGAAGCCCCTCTCTGATCTCATTTATTTCCTTCTTTCCTCAATATCATACATATATGATAGATGAATAATATATCATATATATATATATATATATAGAGAGAGAGAGAGAGAGAGAGAAAGAGAGAGAGACAGACAGACAGAGAGACAGAGACAGAGACAGAGAGACAGGAAAGATGGAGGGGATACAGAAAATGCATAATCATTTTTTGGAGGAAACTTTTTTCATTGTGGTTTTGCAATTTTCATTATGGTTTTGAGATTTATGCATTTTGCTGTGAATGGCTTGGCTCCTTCTCATCGCTCTCACCCATTGGGTCTGTGTTCTCTTACCCATTCTCCTGGGAATGGACATTGAGATGGCTTATGATATTTTCCTCAAATACAACGAGCCACGCAGTACACATCTTTGAACATGCTTCCTTGTCCACATTTATGAGAGCGCTCCAGGGCGTATCCCCAGGGAGCTGAGTGTGGCAAGTGGGATCGCTAGTTTTCAAATTTGTCATTAGAAAAATGGTCGTGCCAGCTCCACTTTCACGCCACACTGCACCTCCATAATCCCTCTTCATTAGCCTCTCCACGGCCTTTAGTGGAATTTGAATCTCCCCGAAGAGAACAGTGTTTTTCGTTGATTCTCCATCTGACGGATCTCTCTTGCGGGGCTCCCCTTTCTGTGAGGGGTCACACGTTCAAAACCTTTAGGACTGCATGCTGAAATGTAGATGTGTGAACGCAGCTGAGATGCTGGATACCAGTGGGCAGGAGGATGCCACAGCCAGCAGCAAGGCCTGCAGAGCCCTGGCCCTGAGTTTCTCAGGTTACTTTACATTCCTGAGTCTTTCTCCTAGCAGCCACAAGCAAGGTGTCTGGGACCGGCCTGCCTTGGGGTGACGCCCAGCACCCTTGCTTTGAGTTGTTTGTCCCAGCCGTTTGTGAGCAGTTTCCTTAACATCCCTGTGCCTTAGTTTCCTTTGTTGGTAAAGTGAGAGAAACGCTAGAATTTTACTTCACAAAGTGACTGTGAGAACTAAGTGAAATAATGTACAGAAAGCTCTTTAATAGTTGCTCACATAATTGTTTGCTGCATAGATGAGGAAAGTATAAAATAAAGAACAATAGTACCCTGCCAACTGCGTGCCCAGCATTGTTCTAAGAACTGGGGAAATGGTATTGTTCTTAATATCTCTCAATTAAACTGTCAACTGGGCCCAGCCCTTAGTACATCGCCTGCCACACAGTTGGTACAAGGGGGAATTAATAAGTGAACCAAATGCTTCTCCGAAAGCAACATAAATGCCCAAAGCATGTTCGGAGCGACAACGGAGCAAGTAAATTACATCCATGACAACTTCACTGCCTGTGGAGTGAATTCTTCTCTGAATATTACAATATCAGTGGCAGCTGCCAGCAGCCTTAATATTTGAGTCATCGGTGCACTCTGCCCTTTGGCAGTGGGAAATGCAGGGGAATTATTTCTTGAATCCTTTACTTTTCTGCGGGATACCCTTCCTATCTTTTGATTGTCACTGATCTTTTTGTTTCCCCCATGAACTTCAGGTCTCATTGTCCACGAAGGAGCTGCAGTTTACAGGGTGTTTAAGCGCTGGCGAGCCGTCAATTTGCACTGGGATGTGTTAAACTACGACAAAGCCACCGACATCGAAGAAAGTAGCCGGGGAGAGTCTTCCACAAGCAGGACTTTATGGTTGCCCTTGACGGCTCTGCGGAACAGAAACTTGGTCCACCCGACTCAGCTGACCTCCCCGAGGTTTCAGTGTGGCTATGTGCTACTCCACCTGTTCAATCGGATAAGGCCCCACGAAGATCTGTCAGAAGATAACAGCTCGGGGGAGATGGTGATGAGAGTGACCTCGGTGTGACAAGCGTATACAGCGACACAGTGTGGACTGACCACCCGGCACATTTTGGAATGTAATTGCAATGAATGGTGAAACCATAGCACTTCTACAAAACATACATCTATGAACTTTTTAAAATTTATGCTTTTTATATGAACATTTGAATTGCAAATACATTTTTCTGAAAAACGATTCCTCTTGTTCTTTGTTGTTCTGATTTGTCACATCTTTTATAAGTTCCTACTTGAAATCATTATACATATAAGTTAACTCTACTTGGTAAAAAAAGAAAAAACACAATGGTGACAGTTATCCTTAAGGCCAAAACTATTTTTTCTTGCTTATTTTAAATATATTTTTATCAAACTTTGGTTGCATGTGTAGTTTTTCAGACACGGTATGAGTGGGGCAAGTTTTACACCACTGCGGGCAGGTTTCAGAGGTAAAGGACTCACTGCAGAGCTGTCCCCGTAGAGCCTCACAGTGCTCTCCTTGTGCCTCAGGCTGGCTGACAGATGTGACTGTGACTTATTCACTGTGATGAAAAACAATTTGTCACCAAGAACACAAGCTGCAAGAATTAACAGCTCGCTTTCTAACTTCTGAAACACCGCAGGGAGCTTCCAAACATATAAAAATGGGTTCAGTAACATGCCTTTACTGCAGTTCACGTTACATAGGCAAAGTGTCCTGAATATTTACAACATGCAAAGCTCGCCAAAATGTTGCATCATGTGCAACTGACTCAAGCAAATCATACTGCCTCAAAAAACAATACCGCCTCATATTTGCATAGGCCTCTAATAGGACCTATCACAGTTTGTTTAATTATTAGTGTCTCCAATTGTATGAGCACCATCTTAATTAGATTTTCTTTCTCTAAAAGCTATGTAGTCTCTTAGTCATTTAAGCACTACTCCTATTACTAGGACTAATGAAGTTCTCTGAAATATGTTTGCTCTCTAGCAGCGAGAAGTCTTCCTCTTTCATTAGATGACTAGAAAAATATTTTTAAATGAAAAGAGGAAAAGAAAAATGAAGCTATTGACTCTCCAGAAACAGGTGCTATTCAGTAGTGCCCAGAGATTTCCACGTGTGTCCTCCTCTTGGATGTATTTGGGACATTTTAGTGGACAGGGAGAAAGATGAGGAAACAGGTGAGCATGCTTTCCTTGGAAGTACGAGGTGAACATGCTGGTGGTTCGCAGTAAAACATGACTAGACTCAAAAGTACATAAAAGGCTTTCTATTCTTCTTTTCTGAAAATTGTTTCCAAGTGATAATAGAACAGTTCGTGTTTGCAAACAGCACCTTGTTTCTTTCATAGTAAATTTCCCCAATTTTTAAATGTCTTTTCTTTCCAGTTAAAAAACTTCATCACAAATGACAAAGTGTAATGCTTTACAGAAATGTCACGTGTGAGTCACAAAGTCATGCAGGAGTGAAAATTCACCCATTATCTGGGACAGGGCCAGATCTAGAAGAGGAAGCATTAAGCAAACCGTGGAGGTTATGGCTTGTGTTAAGCTGCTGTCACAAACATCCCGAGTTGGGCTCCGAACGGCTTAGTTACTAAGCAAGCTGTTAACAGTATTTAATTGAGAGCAAGTTTGAGTGCTATTGACCTTACAATGTGTTAAAAATATTGGAGGGCAGAGATAGGCACAGATTCCATGGTCAGTGCTTCAGCACAGAGTAAAGCCTGCCTGTGAGTCAGCAGACTGTGTTCTTCTACAGGGGGGAAAGCAAGGCACAGAGGGCAGGAGCCCCCTCTCTTCAGTGTGCATAGGTGTGAGTGTATCTATGACTTGGAGAAGTCTGGAGATGAGTGTGGTTGCTGGGATGGCCAACCTGAGAGAAGCCACCCTCCTTCCCAGGACCCAGGACAGAGGCTGAATGGGCCTCTGTCTACCTCCTACATGACCCCTAACCCTAACTGCTGGCACACAAACACACCCACACATCACTGGTTTTGCAGTGAGAATCTAGCAGAATTTCACTCAACATGTATCGTACCCACGAAGAGAGTGTGTAGAAACTCAACAAAGATGGGGAAGAGGATGCATTCAGAGGATAGAATTCACTGTTTTTGCTCTATTTCTGAATAACATGAGTTACGAAGATATAAATAATTAACTTTCCAATCGTAAATGCCATAATCCAGACTCAAGCTGCCTTAAGTGCTGAAAACATTTATGGCAAGGAAGTGTGTTGGAAATACCTGAATTATTATTTTCAAAACCTTTTCCGATAGTATAAAATTAAAACCATACGCAGGCGGTCTCTTCCGAATCACTAATTTATAGGAAGAACACTTATAGAGCACCTTCTGTGTGCCAGGCATTGTTAGCAGCGGGAAATGAGGTGGGCCAGGTGGACATGGTGGGGGTTGGGGGTAAGAGAAGTGGTGTTCCAGGGGCCTGGTGAGTTGTCCTGGGGCACTTGGGGAGAGTGTCACCAAAGAGCTGGCGGAACCCGGATTGTGAATCATGAGTGTACACTGCAGATCTGACAAAGGCGGGGGGCACGTGTTCCAGCAGTGGAGACGCAAGCAGAGACCCGATGCCAGCCTAGGGGGTTAGCAGGTTTCTGGGACTGCGGGCCCCCCTGAGTCATGGAAGGTGGGGTTGATGGAGCACGAGGTCAGATTTGGCAGGGATTCCCCTGCAGTGGATGTTCTCTGCCCGTCAATTGCTGCGAATTCAATAATGCAGTAGGAATATTGGAGCATTTTACGGGCTCCAGTGCTTCCCCCCATCCTGCGAGCTGCAACCCCCTAACACTGAGGAGGAGAGCGCATCACAGATCTCATACAGTACAAGATCAATTTGTCATTATTAAAAACATCCCATGAACAGAAAACCTCCCAAAATAAACCAAGTTCCGGTTCTGCTGCCTTTGGCTCTGTCTACGTAGGGCTCTCTTCACCTTTCCGTTTTTCCCTGTGGGGTAGCAGTGGCAGTGCCCTGTTTTTAACGCAACACATATGCTCTTCCCTACCTTTTCTACAGAGTTAAGCAGGACAGTAAGCGTGGCTTTGCCTACGCAGAATCAGATTAGCTGTCGTCTATCAGTTGATGTCATTTTAAGGAAGAGCTCATGCTTTGTCCATATTATCCTTTATAGTTTTTTCTTCTACTTACACATTTTAATGGCAGGAGTTAACAGATACCTGATATTTGACACTGTTCTAAGTTTGTTTTTCAAACTAAACTGTGGCAAAGTTTGATCTTATTCACTTTTACACATTACATTAATGGAATATAATATTTATTATTAAATGTATATAACACAATATAAAATGTTACATAACAATTACGCTATGTTATACTGTTTGTATAAAATAATTGAACACCCTACATATTGCCAAAATAGATTGTTAAAGACTTTAAAAGTTTTTTTAGATAATTAGCCTAGTTCTAGTTTATCAACTTGGAAAAAAATCCCATCATGTGAGCATTGCAGCAGATGCTGTGACTGATAGCAAAGTGCAAACTGCTCTGAGCCCTGGTGGAATGTAAAAACTAATTCATCCCTCTCACAAAGTGCCACCTTCCACACCATGGATTTATCGTGTTAATTAGTCAAGAACTCAAGTTATTTAAAAGTGTTTTTCTCCTAAAAAAAAAAAAAAGGCAGTAGAAGCCATTGGGAGAATGAGAGTCATGTATGCTCTCCATAAAGGTTTGATGCTGTTTTTAAAAATTCTAAACCACAATCCAATGTATTTTATTTACTTATTTAATGAAAAAATTCATAAAACAATAGAATAACAATAGTTCATACATTGTGTATTGTTACTTTCAAAGTAGTTACTCAGAGCACAAAATATGGGTATAAAAATTGTCCAAACAATATTAGCACAAACTTTTCTTTTCAATGAACTAAGAGAAAATAGTAATGGAACTATATTGCATTTTGGTTTTTGTGTTTTTCAGTTCCTTTTCCCTTCCTTCGATTCTTCCTCCATCCTAGTACCTCTTTCCTTTTGAACAATTTCTTTTCATTTCTGAGTATCTATTGTACATTTTGATCCTTATTTACTCTTTCAGTTTTTCACACCAGGGAGACAATAGGATGTTTACACATGTGAGTCAGATTTATTTCACTTGAGAGTGTGGTCTCAAACTGCATCCTTTTACCTGTAAATGTTTCAAATTTATTTTATGACTGATTATTACTCTGTCATATAAACAAAAACAAAAACACATCTTTTTTATCCATTCCTTTGTTGATAGGCATTTGGGTTGTTTCCAAGATTTTGATGCTGCAACTTGTGCTTGTGTAAACATAGGTGCACATATGTTAATGTGATTTAATGTTTTTAATTCTCCTGAGAAGATACAGAAGGGGAATAACTGGGTGAAATAGGACTTATAATTCTATTTTTTTGAGGAATCTCCAAACTGATCTCCACAGTGGTTGTATGAGGCTACGTTCCCACCAACAGTGGAGAAGTGTTCCTTTTCCCCCAAATCCACTCCAGCATTTGTCATTGGTTGATTTCTTCATGACAGTCATTCTTTCTGGAGTGAGGTGGAATCTCTGTGTAGTTTTAATTTGCATCTCTCAACCAATGATGTTGAACATTTTTTTCATACATGTTTATTTCCTGTTTGTATTTTTTTATATTCATCTTTCATAAAAAGTCAATGATCCTTAAATTTTTGCGCAACTTTTCATGTTTTTGAGTGCTCTATATACACAATGGCTTTCTAGGGAAAGTCATCTTTTTCTGTTATTACAAGAAGATAAAAAAAATACTGGCTTGAACATGCACAGAGAAAGAGGTTCAAGAATGTTGGTGCATAATAGTGAACTAAGAGTTTGCTCTGTGATTCATGAATCCAGCATATTTATGGCAGCTGTTGGACCACAGAATACCCGAGCTGTGGGTGAAACACATAATTTTTTCAGAGCTGCACGGGGTCTCTGGAACGGTGGAGACCTGCCTGGAAGCCCCTTCAGCAACAAGGATGACAGATGGAGTTGGTAGATACTCAGTTGGACACTCTTCTCATGAAACTTTCAAAAATGTCAGGATGTAATAAAAGGCATGAACCAAAGCTTTCTTTCAGAGATCAAGAGGAGGAAAAATACAGTGTCCATTATAACGTGGCTGGCATTGTTAGATGCAGCTTTCTGTACATTTCTTTTTCTTCTCTCTTATTCATGTCCATTGTTTCTGGCTC